GTCGGTCTCCCATTTCACAGCAGGTATGTATATTTTTTTAATAATACATTTTTTCAATATTTTATATTTTAATTAAATTTGAGTAATATAATTTTGGAATAGTTGTAATGAGCAGCAAAACACTTCCAAGAGGTTGTTTTATATTAGCATAACCCTCAATTGCAATCTTACATAAAAAGTGTGCTTAAAAAGAAAAAAAGTATGCAATAATTTATTATTATTTTATTATTTTTAGATAAAGTTTAGTGTTGTTAATCATGGATCGTAGCTGGATATATGGTTTACGAAATACTTCTCAATTTTTCAATGGTGTTCATGAGTTTGTGAAAGTGGTTGTTGCGCATCAGAAGCAACAAGGACAAAAAGGAATTTTATGTCCTTGTTCAATGTGACGTAACATTAAAAGAGAGAATGACGTGAACATAGTTCTTCATCATTTATTTGAGAAGGGTTTTAGAGAAAACTATATGACATGGACATTCCATGGTGAGAATCGTGTTGATGTCAAAGACATTTTTTCTGGAGCAACTTCTAAAAATCTAAAGCGTAAAGCTACTCATATTACTACTACTTCAAATGATATTGATGATGGTGTTGCGGATGATGATGGTGATGAAGATAGAATTGATGAACTCTTGAATGATGTTCATGATAATTTTGATTATCAACCAAAATCTTATGAGAACTTGATTGAGGCCGCCAATATACCGCTATTCACGGGTTCTGAATTCTCCAAACTATCTGTTGTTCTCAAATTATTTCACTTGAAAACTAAACATGGGTGGAGTAATGTTAGTTTCACTGAGTTGCTAATATTGCTTCAAGAAATGCTTCCAGAAGGAAATACACTTCCCCATACGAGCTATAAGGCTAGAAAGTTGTTGTGTCTAATGGGAACAGAATGGGAGAAGATTCATGCATGTCCAGGTGATTGCATACTGTACCGCAATGAATATGAAAACCTAAATGAATGTCCAAAGTGTCACGCTTCACGTTATAAGAATAAGAAGGGTATTAATGTTGGGTTTGATGCTGAATATACCAAAACACCTGCCAAGGTGTTGTGGTATCTTCCTATCATTCCTAGATTTAAAAGATTATTCATGAATGAGAAAGATGCAAAAAACTTAGTGTGGCATGCTCAAGGCATGAAAAAAAATGAGTACTTGCGACATGTATCTGATGCACCACAGTGGAGGCAAATTGATTTGAGCAATATCCTCTTTTAGTTCCAAATGAAAATGTTGAGATATATGTGTTGACAGACACTATAGGATCATTTGTTAAGTGACCTAGTCATTTAGTTTTTTTTTGAAGAAGAGGTGAATAAATAACTCTTTGCGATTATCAAACAATACAAAATTACTCTATGTTACTGTCATTCTGACCATTTTTTAGGATCAGGTAAAGTCAAAGCGGAAAGATGTGATTCAAAAGAATAAAGTTTTTATTCCGAGAGAGTCTCCTCGGTTGTGGTTCCTCCTAGCACATACCCATTGGTTAATGATACTAATTTGCAGTCACTAACCGAAGATTTATTGGAGCTACATGAGACGCTAGAGTGGTATGAGCCAGAGGTGTGTAAATTCTTTATTGCTTTACCTGTTAATGTCTTTCACTATCCGCAAAACAGTGAATTTGGGACTATCATCGATCGTAAAGAGTTGACTGAATTACTCGAGGGTGATTCCGTGGATATGTGCATCATTCAATCCTTTGTACTGTAAGTATTTTAAATAAATATAAAAATATTTAAATTAAAGTTCATGAAATGATTGAACTTCAAAATTGTATAATGATGCTATATTATGTTTATTATATGCGTGCCTTAGCTAAATTGAATGATTTGCAACGTACGTATATATGAAACACGCGTGATGATGTTGTGTTTTTGTTCCTCTTATTGTGCTCTTATGGTTCTTATCAACTTGACAAGAAGGGCACAATAACATATATGAAACAATCTTTGTGTGCGACATTTGGAAAAAGAATGATCTTGCTTCCATATAATGAAGGGTAACTAGTTTTATTTTATATAATGTATCTGTTTATGTAAATTTAATTTTTTAATTAATTGTGTTTTTTTTAGATTTAGATTTCATTGGATTTTGATAGTCATTTGCCCCTCGGTTAATAAAGGCTATATCTTCAATACAATCCCAAGCTTTTCTAATATCAGCATTCAGAATGATCTAGCATTTTAAGTATTCTTTTAATATTTTATATTTATTTAATTGCTATAGATTATTATTATTATTATTATTATTATTATTATTATTATTATCATATAACATAAAAAAATTTAATATAGAGCATACAGAGTTGCTTCCGCAAGAAATGGTGATGGAAAGCCAATCACATGGCATAATGTTAAGGTATATATAATTACATAAATAATTATATTTAAATTATTATTAAATTCATCAATAACTTATTTCAATCACCATTAACTTTGATACATATATTTTGTAAATTTGTATTTCAAAAAAGTGCGCAAGACACAAACGGAAACACAGAATGTGGATATTATATCATGCGATACATATGGGAAGTGATTTCGTATGTTGATAGCTTTGATATTGGAAAGGTATATCATTATTTATTCTTATTTATTAACTTCGTTTAATTTTTTCAAATTTAAAAGTTGTAATATTTTTTATTTATGTTTTATTTTATCTAAATATTTGTAGGATTGGTATTCAAGAACTGAGGCATATTCTGAAGATGAGTTTAATAACATTCTCAATATATGGGCACGGTTTTTTTTGGATGTACTCTTAAATATGTAAAAGTTGTTTACATTGATTATGTATGTCAGAATTTGGGAGAACTATCAAATAAGCCCTTGAACTTTCATAAAAAGTGCAAATAAGCCCTTTTACAGGAGGCTCTGTCTGGCCGTCGCCATTTGGGGCGGTTTCCGGTAGATTTTTTTGATGAAATATTTTGAGTATCTTCGTCATTAAGTCTAGTTTATTCATTCCAAATTTCAGCTAAAATTTCAATTGGGAAGACAGTCAAATGAATTTTTGAAGATAACTGCGCAGTTAGACAGCGCAATATATTTCAGAAAATCATTTGACTCTCTTCCCGATTGAATTTTTAGCTGAAATTTGGTATGAATAAACTAAACTTAATGAAGAAGATACTTAAAAAATTAAATCAATAAATTCCACCGGAAACCGGCCCAAATGGCGACGGCCGGACATAGCCTCCTGTAAAAGGGCTTATTTGCACTTTTTATGAAAGTTCGAGGGCTTATTTGATAGTTCTCCCTCAAAATTTTTATATTAGCAATTACGACATGTTTATGTTGGTTATGTATTGTGTTAAGTGTTGTGTGGAATCATTTTTATGAAGATTTTTGTAATCTATGTTGGTTACTTGTTTACACTTTGCTGATTTTGTAATTTGTGTAAGTTCATGTTGTTGATATTGTGATGATTTTAAAAAGTTTACACTTTTGGTATTTTGTTAAATTTTGTTCCAGGACGTACTTTTGAATGATCCTAAATACGATTGAAATTTTTTTAAAAAATGTTGATTACTTGCGGTGCTTATTTGTGTAAGGCGCCGCGAAAGTTAAAAAAAAAAGAAATTAATTTAATTTATTAAAAAAACATCTGCGGTGCTTATATAGAGAAAGGCGTTGCACGGTTACGTCGAAAATTATTAATTTATGAAAATATTTGCGGCGCCTATACGCAAAAAAGTGCCGCACACATATTAAATATAATTTTTTTAAAAAGAAAATATTGGCAGCGCTTTTTTGAAATTAAGCGCCGCGCGGGTTAAATTGCGGAGATTTGCGGTGCCAAAAAGCGCCGCACATGGGGTGATTTAAGCGCCGCAAAAAGGTAATTTTGCACCAGTGATCAAATTTCAACGAAAAGTTTTAATGGCTAAACTCTAGGGGTTTGTTTGGAAGTTTGGATGAACACAAAAGGAAAACTTTGAAGATTTATAGTAGCAGGAAAATGGGAGGTAAAGTTATATTCCCTCCGGTTCCAAAAGATCTTGACACTTTAACTTCACTGTTTTTAAGGAAATAAACGTTGTTTGGCACTGTTTGGCACTGTTTTGTGTAGATTTATTTGCCAAATAAGGCAAATAAGGAAGTGTAAAGATCTTTCTGGTACTGCTAAAAATGGAAAGTGTAAAGATCTTTCAGAACCGGAGGGAGTATAACACATATGTAGTAGTATTTCATTGAGAATTACAAATTTGAGAAGCGAGATACTACAGACGAATTAAAATTAAATCGCTTCAGAGATATTACGAATTCAAATAGTTGAACATCTATTCATTTTAAATTGAATTAAGATTATCATTTAATTATCTTTCAAAATCTCCAATTTGAGAAACTTAAAAATTGAGCATTTGGTCAGGCTTCTCGGCAGATCCTAGGAAAGCCCTAGGCGGCAAACTTCTGAGCGTCAAGCTTCTCCTCTCTGACCGGCGAAAGTCTTGAACGACAATGATGGTCTTTGGACAATCAAGCAACGAATCAGGGTTTTTCCCATGCTTCCGTTTTCTTTTATTACTACTTTCCAGGGTTCTGATATTGGTCTAACTTCTTCTTTGACCGAGAATTTTCATTGCTTCATGTGAGTGTGAGGTATGTTTCTCTCCCAGCGGTGTCTAGAAATTATGTATTCCTCATTGGTGTAAGCGAGCGGAAGGTCAATTTTTCATTGCTCATGGTTGACAAGACTTGTTAAACTTGATCTTTCTAAGGTGTTGATGGATGTGTAGCAATAGATGAACATCATAGTGCACTAAATTGTGTTAAGCGCGCATGTTTCTCACATTCTCACGTTAAGCATGGTTCTCATTGGAACCGCTCCCTACACACATTAAATTATTTGTATAACATTTTCGTAGAAATAACATTATTTGTGAAAATCTTGGTTTTCCTACAAACATGTTTAATTGCGGAGAAACTTGATTGGATGAGGAGGAGAACGTGAAAATCATACCAAAAGTATATAAATAGTATGTTTGATTGGTGAAGGATAGACAAATGCTACTCATTTCGTTTTTGTAATTTGATTCTAACTACGGAGTATCAATTTCTTATGATATTTGAATTCGGGTTTTCAGATATTATCACGAACAACTTGACTTCATCTCAGTCCTAAATCAATCGTAAATGACAACGATTTAAGGACAGAGAAATGTTCTTTTACTTTTCGGCCCACACTTAAGAAAAGATCTAGATCAGCCGCTGCACCCAACTGCAACCAAGAACTTTCTTAAAGCCCTTTTCTTTTATACAAGTTTGCAGTCCATCGGCATCATCCCAATTACCCTGGTTGGAAGACATATTGGCAGCAAGGACATAGTTGGCTGAAATATCAGGCTCTATTCTATGCAACATTTCCTTAAGGTTCTCATTGATATGAGGAACAATGCGTTCATGCTGTTTGCAGGCCTAATAAAGCTTCTTAGTATTACAGAATTCGGTTCCATCGGCATGTGCATGATGACCTGGTAAGCTTCCTCTATCTTACCTGCACGTCCAAGCAAGTCCACCATACATCCATAATGTTCCATGCTTGGTCTGATATCACAAACACTCGCCATTCTCCTGAACAGGTCACGCCCTTTATCGACAAGACCCAAGTGACCGCAAGCAGACAAAATGGCAGAGAATGACAAGCAGTCGGGCCTCAGTCCGGATTTTTCCATTCTGGAAAATAAGGATACGGCTTCTTCTCCATGGCCATTATCTGCAAGTGCAGATATAGTTATAGTCCAGGACCGCAGATTCTTGGCGCTCATTATATTGAAGATGTGGAAGGCTTTTTCCACGTGGGCGCACTTTGCGTACATCTGAAGGAGAGCTGTTCCGAGGCCAACATGCAATTCAATACCATGGGTCAGGATCTGCGAATGGATGGACTGGCCTAGTCTGGCATTCAGTAGACTGGTACACGCAGATAGCAAGCTCACCAAAGTGATTGAAGTTTCCTTCTCATTTGCAAGCTTCATCTTCTTGAACACTCCAATAGCATCTGAAGGGAGGTTACTACAAGAATTCAAGGAAGTACATAGGATGATAGGAACACTCAAAACTGATGTGGAAGGGAAACAGTTCCATGTTTCTAGGAAAACAGGAACTATATCAAGATTTTGTTATATCATATATGCATCAATGCACAAAAGATTTACAAATGGGGATAATGTCCACTCAATATAAAAACAAAATTAAGAAAAAAGGAAAAGTTTTTCGGGAGAATAGCTCATTTTACTAATGTACCCATCACAAGTGAAAAGGGGATCGGAACACTCTTGCCCATTGCCTTAGCACACTATCAAGCAAGTAAGCAACACTAAAATGATAATTCTCTTCTATAGAGCAATGGTTATGCAATAATATAATGGTACTGATATAATTAGACAGGCCGGCTCAAAAATATTAAACGTTACAGAGTAGTATAAGAATAAGTAATGCATAGAGAATTGAAACCATTTCTTCAAAGCCGTCCTAAGAATGGTCTTGCTAAATCCGATTAATAATCTTCAGGTGCATTACTCCCTCAGTCCCTCTGTCCCAAAAAAAAATCGTAATGCACTTTTTGGTTCAACCTAAATTTAAGTTCATGTTTCTTACAAGGAAAAGAGTCAAATGGTTCTTTTTTCTTTGTCCAAAGGGTTCTTGTGAATTAAGGATCATGTTAAGTTTTATGAGAAGTGTTATGTACTTATGAGGTTCACTGATTCAAACAAAATGTGGTTCACTGATTCAAAAAAAAAGTGGTTCAGTGTATCACAAATATGTACCACAAAATTTAAGCTTCTTGATAAAATGTGTCTGGAACTTATTTTGAGATGGAAGTAGTTTGATTATTCAAACAAAACCAAACTACGAATAAAGTTAAGATGTCTGAAAACAGAATGAAAAAACAAGAAGAATATCCTCACCCATCAACATAGCTAGAAATCATAAAGCTCTAAGAAACCATGTCCCTTTCAGACATTTCTTCGAACACCTTCCTTGCAAACGCTATCACACCACATGCAGCGTACATTTTCAGGAGGGCGTTATTCACATGGACATCAAAAGAAAACCCCTTCTTTATCGACATTGAACGAACTGATCCGCCAGCTCCAACAATGGAACAGCACCCATCAGATTTTAGCACGGAGGGGAAAACAAACTTATCAGGTTTTATTCCGGTTCTCCAAAGGCCGATAAACGACTTCAGGGACTCAATCTCACTGGAGCTTTTCGAGTACTCCAATATCAACGCATTACACGTGAAGAGCGATGGAGTGATCGTGATCAGGACAAGTTTTGATGTTGAGCGAGTGGAATTGGAAGATGAGAAATCTCTTTTGGTCGTTTGAACAGCCTCCCAACTGGCCGCCGGATCATCAGCCATCACCGCCGGACTCAGCTCTTCTTGTCAAAACACGTCTGCTTAATTTGAACTTTATTACTAATTTGGTAATTGAGCAATAAACTTTTTAGCTCTTCATTCTCCCATACCGAAAACATATAAATATTATAGCGTTTTATAATAATTGTTTCAACACATTTGTCCAATTATATGATTAACTTCAAATCATTTGACTTAAAAGATATTTATATTGTATGGATTCTTTCATGGAGGAATTGAGAAAGTAAAAGACAAACTAATAAATACATTGGTTTGTAATGTACTTTCTCAATTCCTTCATGAAAGACTTCAAACGATTTAAATTTCAATAGCATTTTTTTAAGTTTTGTGGCACTCCGATATACTCTGTATGATTTCGGACGTGTTTACCCCTACCCCGATGTGAGGGTAGGAGTCGAGGATGAGTACTAGGGTAGGGTGGAGTGGAGCAGGCTTAAGGGTCGGGTAGGGGTATGCACCACGGGTAAGGATAGGGGATAAGGAGCAGGAGTATGGGTATGATAGGGGGTAGAGTTAAAGGATAAGGGGCATGGGTAGGGGGTAGTCCACAATGTATTATATATACCCAGTTATATGATTAACTTCAAATAATTTGACTTAAAAAGATATTTATATCGTATGGATTCTTTAATGGAGGAACTGAGAAAGTAAAAAGACAAACTAATAAATATATTAGTTTGTATTGTACTTTCTTAGTCCCTTCATCAAAGATTTCAATCGATTTAAATGTTAAAACTACTTTTTAAGGATGGCAATGGGGGTGGGGACGGAGATTGGTGAGATATTTATACGCCGCTAAAATATGGAGCGGGGGACGGATATTGCTACACAGTAGCGGGTCGGTCCGGTTCCAGGCCGATTGGCCCTGCCCGAGTCCACTCCTGATTAAGTAGAACACATATGCATATTTAAGTATATAATTATTGTATTATAATTGATGAGAAATTTGTAACAACATACATGCTGATAATATGTTTACTTATTTATTTACTTTTCTTATTCAAATTAAAGAATTATTAAAAATTGGCAGAAGTAACTTTTATTAAACACACTATTATCTAGCTTACCTATTTTAGTGTTATTATATATATTTATATTTATCTATAAAATGGGTTAAAAAATATGCAAATAAGATAAATAAAATCTATATAGGAGCACCCGCGGGCACCTGTGGGCAAGGATGGGGTGGGTCTGGGAGTAGTGGGGGATGGGGTGGGGATGGGGGAAACAGTTTAGACATGGGGCGGGGATGGGGGAGCGAACCCCCACCTCAAACCCGCCCCATTGACATCCCTACTTTTTTGTAGTGTTTGCTTTTCTTTTATAGTTGTAGTTTTTGTCTATTGCAAAATAACTTAATTAAAAATCACACCTTGACTATTTGCTTTGAGGCACTCCAATTTAAATTTTGAAACTACTTTTTGTAGTGTTTGCTTTTCTTTTGTTTTCTAATTTTTGTCTATTGCAAAATAATTTAATTTAATATCACATCCTTGACTATTTTCTTTGAGGCACTCCAATATACTTTGTACGATTTAGGACGTGTTTACTTTGTTGCTAAAATTACAGTTATGCACTCCAATATAACCACCTACCCTTCCCCTACCCCTATGCATACCCTTACTCCTACCCTGGTGTAGAGTATGGTAAGGGTAGGGGTCAGGGTAGGGGTACTGGGGTAGGGTGGAGTGGGGCATGGGTTAGGGGTAGGGGTATGCACCATGGGTAGGGGTAGGGGATAAGGGGTAGGAGTATGGGTATGGTAGGGGGTAGGGTTAAGGGGGTAGGGTTAAGGGGGTAGGGGGCATGGGTAAGGGGGTAGGGGTACATGGACATTTTAATGTTAAACGGTGTTTTATTTTAAATCATGCAAAGTAAACATGAGCTTATATAGCACTATTTATTTTAACGCCGCTTATTAACGCAAGTCTTAATAAGTATTGCTTAGTAATCTCTAATGTAAACATGTCCTTAGTGTTGTCCGTATTGATGTGTTGAAAAATTAAAATGGTTTTATGTACGAAGTATTTTAAATGCCACCTTATCATATTTTAAAATCGAACTTCAATAGAAAATTTGGGGGACGGCAAGGGAAGGATTTAAAGGGTAGCAATCGGAGGGAAAGGGGAGGAGAAATTGAAGAAAACGTTGTTTTTGTTTAGGAGTTATAAATTTGGGAATCGATGGTTACGAAAAATTATAATTAAAACCGTTAAAGATATACGTAGTATATCGAATTCAAATAGTTAAACTTGTATTCATTTTATAAAAGTGAGTTAAAATTGAGTTAAAATTATCATTTATTTTGTTATCATTCCAAAACCATCAACTTGGGAGAATTTAAAAGTTGAGCATTTAAAGGATTTTGGAGGTTATAAAAGTCTTCCAAAAACCCTCTCCAATTTTTTAAACTTTCAAACATAAAATGATAAAAGTCTTTCAACCAATTTGTGTGGTTGGAGTTTAATTTGTGCGGAGGAGAGAGAAATGAGCAGAACCACAAATTGTGGGAATCTCCGCCTCCTGATAATTTTCAACACATCAATACGCACACCACTAAATCATATATTGGTCTCTTGGAGTGTCTCAATACAAAGAGTCAAGGATGTGATATATAATTACATTATTTTGCAATGGACAAAAACTTGAACAACAAAAAGAAAAGTAAGCACTACAAAAAAGTAGTTTTAAAATACTTAAATCGAGTGAATTCTTTGATGGAGGAATTAAGAAAGCAAAATACAAACTAATATATTTATTTTTTTGTATTTTATTTTCTTAATTCCTCCATCAAAGAATTCATACAATAATGAATATCTTTTATATCAAATTATTAGAATTTAATCAAATACTCCGTAATTAATTTATTGGGCAAATGTGTTGGAATAAATCTTACAAAGTGCCAAAAAAGGGGTGTCCCCTAAGGAAGAGTGGTATGATGATGAATAGGCCAACTTAGTTCCTAATAATCTGAAAAGTTCACACCAAAATGTGCTTACAAATATTTTATCTCCGCCAGAAACAATGGATTCAGGCAGTCCATAAAGGCGAAATATATCAGCAAAGAAGACTTTTGCGACCGAAACATCGGTATAAGGATGAGACAATGGGATAAAATGTGCTGCTTTAGAGAGTCTGTCCACAACCACTAGGATAACAGACTTGTCGCGGACCTTTGGTAAACCCTCCATAAAATCCATTGAAATATCAGCCCATATATGGTGTGGAATCGGAAGATGTTGAAGTAACCCAGCATGCTATAATGTCAACCAGTTGTGTTTTTGACACGTTTCATAGTCACAAACAAAGGTTGTTATTGTCGTTTTCATGCTGCTCCCAAAAAACTCGCGCTGAAGCCGTTGCAAAGTCTTTTCCACTCCCTCATGAGTCAGAATGACCGCAAATGTATCTAGCAGGTAGATTTTAAACATGAAATGAACTAGGCCATCCCGAATCTCTCAATCTGATCCACGTTGGCCACTTTGGATTTCGCCAATGATATCTGCTATGATAGGAGAGGTTTCTTGTTCTGCACATTATTCACTAAGAAAGGTGTTGTACAGAACACTGAGTGATGCCATCCGGATGTCGTCCTCATGTTGTCGGGATAGAGCATGTGTGACAGTGTTTAGGCGGCCTGGCTTGTATTCCACCCAAAAATTGAAACCCCATCAATTTACTTAACCAATGTTGTTGTGGGGAAGTGGTTAATCGTTCATCCAGTAAATACTTCAAATTGGAGTGATCTGTCGAATTAAAAATTCAAATCCCCACAAATAGGATCTCCAATGAGTCACTGCCTTGGCTAAGCTAATCAACTCCCTTTCATAGGTTGCAAGCTTAAGGTGTTGATAAGCATTTTTTTCAATTAAAGTAGGCGATAGGATGCCCTTCTTGCCGTAAGAATGTTCCAAAGCTTGAACCTGAAGCACTGCATTCTACAATGAATTCTTTTTCAAAATTTGGCAATTAGAGTACTGGAGCGGAGGATAATCGTTGCTTAAGTGTCTTGAATGCCTGGGTTGCTTCGCTTGTCCATATGAAAGAGCTTTTCTTAATATTTGCGTGAGAGGCCCCGCAATTTTGCCATATTGTTGAATAAACTTTATGTAATAGCCGGTCAATCCTAGAACCCCGCGCAAGGCAGATAGGGATCTAGGGAGGGGCCACTCCGTGATTGATCGTATTTTGGATGGATCGACCACGACACCCCCACGATGTATTATGTGACCAAGATAGTTGACTTGCTGATCGCCAAAACTGCACTTAGATTTTTTGACAGAAAGGCCATGGTTGTGCAAGATTTCTAAGATGAGACACACATGATAAACTTGCTCAACCCATGACTTGCTATAAATCACTATGTCATCAAAGAAAATGAGGACAAACTTGCGAAGGTAGGACCCGAATATATCATTCATCAAACTCTATAATGTGGAGGGTGCATTAGTCAGGCCAAAAGGCATAACTAAGAATTCGAAGTGTCCATGATGCGTACGAAATGCAGTTTTTTCGACATCCTCAACTGCCATGCAGATCTAATGATATCTAGAATGGAGGTCGAGTTTAGTAAAAAATTGGGCCGATAAAGTTCATCTAGCAGCTCATCAATTATCGGGATTAGATATTTATCCTTGATCGTCTTGGAATTCAATTCCCTATATTCAATGCAGAATCGCCAAGCACCCTCTAGTTTTTTGACTAATAATACAGGCGACGAAAAAGGAGAATGACTTGGGCGTATGATACCTTGTGCGAGCATCTCTTAACATTGTCTTTCGATCTCATCCTTTTGAAAGTATGGGTAGCGGTAAGGACGAACAACAACTGGGGATGTTCGTGAGATGAGGGAAATCCGGTGATCACAAGTAGGGGTGGGCGCGGTCCGGAACGGTCCGGTAAATTGGTAAAACCCGTAATGTATCCGTGAGGTTTTTAATGGTCCGGTACGGTTCGATTCCAAGGATAGAACCATTCGGTACCATGTTGTTTCGGAACGGTACAAAACAGTACGGTGCAATGTCAAACACATGCTAAAAATTTTGAACAGATCTTGCAATTAGTAGATTTCATCACGCCAACCAACTCACATGAAATGTTGAAATAAATACAAGAAATTGCATACGTAGTACTAAAATTCATAAATACGCAAATAGTGCGACACAATTAAGAAAAAGTATAGCAAAA